ATCGCTTATACAGGAACTCATGATAATAATACAACAAGTATTTACCACAAAAAAAAGACGATTTTTGTTTTTAAATATTATTAAATTCTTTAGTTGGATGGTTTCGTCATAATATGAAGGAAAAAGAAAGACAAACTTTAATCGATTATTTACAAAAAGAAGGTGATCCAGAACGTAATATCAATTGGGATTTAATACGATTAGTTCTTGCTAGTGTAGCTGATACAGCTGTACTTCTTTTTCAAGATGTACTTGATTTAGAAGAAGGTTGTCAAATGAATGATCCGTATGTTATAAAAAAAAAAGATTGTTTTTCGATTGATTTATTCAAGAAATTGTTTTTTATAGAGCATTTACACCTGATTATGAAGAAAATTGGCGTTGGCGATTTCAATGGGAACAATTAATACAATCTTCAAAAGATAAACTTAAATCATTGACATATATCTATGGACGACATTTGCCAGAAGAAGCATTAGAACGACCAGATACAGAAGCTGGTGTAGATGAAAAAACGGACAGTATCAAACAACCAAAAGCGTATTGATCGAAGGAAAAAAAATTATCTATACGATTTATTAATATTCAAGCTCGAGCCATATATTAACTTCTTATTTTTACTGTAATATTTATTAATCCTAGCGAAAATATGTAACAAATATATTTTATTGTTCAAATAATTAATAAAAAAATAAAACGATTAAAATAAATATTTTATCTAACATCTTTCTATGTAATTTGTAAAACTACAATTAAATTTGCAGGAGATGAACTTTTTACTTGTTTTATAATAGTAAAAGATTTTTTACTGTTGATTTATTAAAGTATTAAATGAAGCGATATTACAATAGAACACGAGACTGTGATCATAGTATCTACGTATTCATTACATACACTATATCAATTTTCACGCTATTAAAAAGAAACAACAACCTGCTAGAATAACAGACAAACAACTGTATATACCTTTCTTGTTTAAATGAACATTTAAACGATCGAACAAGGTTAAGTACTATATAATTAAACACGTTTTTGTATAACGAGAATATATCCCTAGTATTTCATAACTTCAGCCTTGTCGTTATGCTGATACGTATTATAACGAGCATTGACTTATAATCACACGTTTGTTTTTGTATTCTTTCTCCTTATTTTTTACCTTTTGTTATCTCGTTATCAATGTCTGTTTTGCTTATATAATATACACCAATGATAATTGCTATTCTACGCATTTGTTTTCGATATATTATTGATGATGTCATTTGATTATTAAACGAAAACATACATATATATATCCTACTATTCAGTATATAATACAAAAAAAGTACTTATATTCTTGTATACGCCCTTGAAGAATACAAAATGATGATGCATCCAAGATCCAATTCAATAATGGCCGCAGTACCTAGCGAAATGCTTAATCGTGTTCAATTACCTCCAGCAGATAATCTATCTAAAGAAACGGTAACATCATTATTAGCATCTGATTCCGCAACTGTTAAAAGTGCAAAAGAAGCAACACATATTTTATTTTCTAAACCATTACATTTCTTACGATCAATATTAAATCACGAAACCGCTACACATGAAATAACAGAAGAAGAACTTGATTTTGCTGCTGAATTTGGTCGATTTCCTTATCGTCCAAGTAAACTTTTTCTTAAATTATTTCATAATGTTATAGCTACACTTCAACGTGATCCATTATGTGGTCGTGTTTCACCCGCATTAATTGGTTCATCTGGTGTTGTTCCATTAACTATTATTTCAACTATTCCAGATATAATGCAACATTATTATCATTGTATAGTTAATGCAAAAAAAGAAGTTTTATTCGCAACAAATTATTGGGAAAAAGGTCATAGTGTTACTATTATTGGTAAAGCAATACGTGATTTAAACAAACGTGCAAGAGATGAAAATCGTCAAATTATTTTTAAATTAATGATTGATCATCCAACAAAAGAAAATCTAGCACATTTTCATAGTATTCTTCCACATCATAAATGGTCACATTATGATATTCCAACACCTGATGAAATTCCTAATATATCACTTGAAATAAATAATTATCATCGTCTTATAATGGGAACATTTCATTCAAAATTTATGGTTATTGATCGTCGTATTGCTATATTAAATAGTAATAATATACAAGATCGACCTAATCTTGAAATGATGTCACAATATGAAGGTGATATTGTTAATTCATTTTATGATACATTTCTTATTTCATGGTGGGTACCATTTGATCCCAATCTTGTTTGTTTAAATGATGATGCAACAACTGAAATTGAATTCCAGTTTGGTGTTGAATCTTCAAAAATTGTTTCATTCAACGAACCATTACAAAATGCAGTAGCTCGAGCACGTTTAAGACTTCAAAATCATTTAGATGATAAACAAACAGAAATTTATTTTCAAGAACCTTTATTATCATCTCAAAGTACTCCATTAACACATCATTTAAATCTATCAGCTAAATCAGCTAGAAAAACACAGCCAGATGAATATCTTTCTAAACAAAATTTAGAAAAACTTGCTCGAGATTTTACACCATTTATTTTTCATGAACCACATGAACCGTTTCCTATAGCTTTAGTTAATCGTTTACCTCATGGTGCACCTGGTCATTCAGATACAGCAAATCCTCAAGATGCTGCATGGTTAGGTGCATTTCGTTATGCAGAAAAATCGATATTTATTCAATCACCTACTTTAAATGCTAAACCAGCTATTAATGGAATTATACAAGCATGTCAACGAGGAGTTCAAGTTATTCTATGGCTTGATTTAGGTTTCAATGATTCAAAAGAGGGACATGGAACATTTCAAGGAGGAACAAATGAACATGTTATAAAAAAATTATATAAGACATTAAGAGATGAAAATAATGGAGCTGAACGTTTTCTTGAAGTTTTTTGGTATACAGGAAAAGGTTTGTTAAAATATATTTAGAAAAAAATATTTGTAATTATGAAATAATTTTTGTTTAGATCAAACACGACCACTTAATTTTTCACAACAAAAACGAAATTGTCATATAAAATTTATGGCTGTTGATGGTCAAGTAGCTATTATGGGTAATGGTAATATGGATAGTCAATCTTGGTTTCATTCTCAAGTAAACTAACGAAAATTTTGTTTTTTCTTTAATTATAAATTGATTTTTATTATAGGAAATCAATGCTATGATTGATTCACCATTAATAGTTAAAGATTGGATAGATGCTTTATATCAAAATCAATCAACACATCAATATGGTCGACTCAGTCTTGATGGAATATGGCGAGATAAGCAAGGTAACTTAAATCCACATGATGGAAAATAATATACCGCACATTTGAAATGTATTTTGTTACTTATTTTTAAAATTTAAAGAAAATAAATGTTTGTTTTTAACTTGAATTAAAAATATTATTATAAGAAAGAAGAATATTTATTTGTCAGTAAATTAAAAACTTTGAAAATGTTTAGAATACATGAGATGAAGTCTATGAAGGCAACATTAATTGTATAGTTTGACCAGGTGATACAGCTGATACATTATCAATAGGAAATTTTGGTTTATCATTTTCAAGACCATAATGATAAACAAAAATTTGTCGTGAAATACTTGTTGTTTTATAAAAATTTAATATTTCATCGAAACTAGCGTGTTCGTAGGTACTTGTTTCACGACCATCAACTAAGATTGTTGGAGCATTCCAAAGAAATGTATAAAATAGTGTATTAAAACCTGAATCACCCGAAAAACTAAGAATTGCTTGATTGTTTTCATAGAGAACAAAACCTGCACATAATTCACTATGTTGACTTCGTTGAACACGTATTTTTAATATTGAATTTGGATCACCTGAATCAAGTTCAACATCTTTTGATTCATCACATGTAATCCATTGTACATTTCGAAAAAGATCTGTTGTTGATGAATCGAGTTCAGCACAACGATATTGTCGTAGACGAGATTGAATGCCAGCATAACAATAAACTCGTACAATGGATTTTAAAGCTTCATTAGCAATATATACAGGTAATTCTCCGCTATGATCAGTGTGATTATGTGAAACAAATATTTGTCGCGGTTTGATATTAAAATCTTTGACGTATTTTTGAAGAGCAAAAATTGAACCAAGACCAATATCAATGAGAAGTATACATTCACCTGTTGTACGACGTAGAAGTGCAAATGAACTACTAGTTTGATTTGAATAAACAGAAGTAGCACCTTTACCAACACCCAAACAAACAAGATCATACGATGAAAGGCCTGACATTATCTAAGAAATTGCATAAACATGAATTATAATCAATAATACAATTAACTGTAAGATAGACGTTCAAACAAAAACATTATCTAAGACATACTTGTGTTTTATCATTTGCAATTAGTTTTGCGCATTGTTCAGACTTAATGTCAGTCGAAGATGTTACAGAAGTACTCGCACCCATGTATATGAATAAAAAAGTGTACTAGTCGATAGATTTATAATACGATGATGTTGCTATCGTGGTATTTCGAACAAAGACTGAATTAATATTAATACTACCTGTTGTATTTATATGTCACACAGGTGGAGGGAAGAAGGTTAGACACTTGTTCCTTTTTATTTAACATCTATTTTTGTGATAATATTCACGAATATCTTTGTATACTATTAGCCTTAGCAATACTTTTAATAATAAAAAACTTCACCTCAAACGACTACTACTACTCATAGATATTTCATCACACATAAGTATAACTTCTAATAATGTATAAGTGTAGAGATAATGGACACAAATGCTTATAGTTTCAAAGTTCTTCTATTTCCCTTTCTCATGGTATTTTTAAAGCTTCACGCGTCAAAAAATCCGTGCTACATATTTAATAAATTACGCAAACTGACAAGCACAAGATCTTCATGTTAAGAAAATTTACTTTTCTTAGCAGTCTTCATTTCATGAATATTAATATGTGCAGAGTAGACAACGCGCGGAGAAAACAGGTGTGGAGATTACGTTTTTGAAAATAAAAAAAAACATTAATCACTAAATAATTGACGATTGGTCTACTTTTTTAATAACTTTCACTTCGTTCTTTGTCTTACGAGTAATCATTTCTTACTTTATTTGCACTTGACGTAATTACTAATAAGTAAGTAATGAAGTCTATATTACTTCAAAAAGAAATACTATTTTTAACTGGCAAATATATAACATTTGTATATATCGACCTCTTTTTTTTTACTTATAATCTTTACCACGAAGAAGAAAAATAAAAATAGGTTCAGGCACAAATTATAAATCTAAACAATATCGTTCAATAGTACAATAGATCATTAAAAACAGGTATAGTAGAAACTCTACTAGCGACATCTATGCTATTTTATTTAGAGTCGTTAACTTTTTAACAAATTATATTTTTTATTTAACAAAGATGATAAAAATTGGAATCGGTTACAGACGAGGACGAGGGCAACAGCATGAACGAAGAAAGCAAAATAAAAATCGTTTATGACAAACAATTTTTTCTTTTATCTATAGTAATATATATATATATTGTT